TTTTCTTTTGGCATATGCTCTTCCAACTGAGTTTATAATTATGTCAAAGTTTATGTAATAATAAGATCAGAATTCTTAATTCTCTAATCTCTAAGAGAAGTCACCTTTACTTAACAGATCAAAGTTGTTTCAAAAAAAAAAGGTGATGAACATTATTTTTCTCTTCAAAAAGAAACAATAAAGTATACCTATTTTATAAATACAAATCACCAACAAATCACCAAACCTAGGGATGATCTTGAGGACCCCCAACAGAGTCCAATATGGGTCCAAAGAAGAAGAACTCTGCTTTATTTCTCTTTATATTTCTTAAGAGTTTGTAACATATATCTTGTACATAACAGATATTCATCATATTTGGTGATTTTACATTTATCCTCCTAATACACCAGTCTGAACATGTGTTGTATCTCTACTTCAATGCTAGTTAACATTGGTGAGCTGGTTAAATGGCAAAAATATATGCGATAACAATGGCACAATTCAAACAAAATGAAAGTTTTTGGCAGGTTCAAGCCACATAGTTGGATAGAAGGTGGATTACTTTGACTATTTGCAGTCTGTAGCCCTCCAATTTGTTTTAATGGCATTTTGGTAGTTCTCCGTCTGCAAACAGCCTAAAGAATACCCCAAGAATTCTTAATGTGACTTTGATTTTTGTTAATTCATGTATCTTTGGAATTTAGAGAAATGTGCCATACTTCAGTTGTGAGTGACAGAAGAGGACAGGCATTTTATGAGCTTCTGTGTTATTTAACCACAGCTCTGCCATGTTTCAAAGAATCAAACAATCCATACTTCCTTATATTTTATATAATGCCTTTGGAACTAATCCCCCTTACTGGCCAAAAAATTGTAAAGACTGCAACAGAGGATGCTGATACAAAAGAAACATTAAAATAAGGTAAAAGAAGGCCCCAGGGATGAAAGGAGTCGGTGTATAAGAGTATTTCTAGGTGAAAGAAAGTTCCAGGACACCTATGATAGTGTCAGAGTCATTTTTTGGTCTTGATCTGCCATAGCAAAAGAACTAAAGAGTCTTAATCATTTTTAAAGCAAACTTCATTATTCAACATAGAAAGTTTGTATGAAATGTCAATTATGCCATTCAAAAAATTATGCAAAGAAATGTAATGAAAGAGCAAATTAGTGACTCTTCCTCCCGTGGAGACTATCTCCAGAAGAAAAAATTATATTACTCTAAAGCATACTTTACCAATATATATGACAAATAACATTTTTAGAAAAATTACTAACATATAGAAATGTAAATCATCAAATTAGCTGAGTCAAACACATGAGAAAAGTTATGTAGTGGAAAGTAACCTCCAGAGGTCATTGAACCTTCTTCCTAAAACACCTCAAGTAGGTAACTCTGAAATCCAAGAAGGATCGATTCTACCATCAGTTTTGGTGGAAGAGGATTTCTGTTTTGGCTTTTGGGAGAGGAATAAGACTGATTGGCCATTCTAAAATTTCCCTTCAGTTCCATTCCCTATGTACTCAGATTCACTGTGCTAATGTCTCCAAATATACTCTGGTTATTTATCTTAGTGGTTCCATTCACTGCCAATGCATCACTGGCAAAAGAATAATACAAAGTTGAGTTTTCTATCTAAATCAATTGTTCAATTGCTTTTCTTTTGGCATATGCTCTTCCAACTGAGTTTATAATTATGTCAAAGTTCATGTAATAATAAGATCAGAATTCTCAATTCTGTAATCTCTAAGAGAAGTCACCTTTACTTAACAGATCAAAGTTGTTTCAAAAAAAAAGGTGATGAACATTATTTTTCTCTTCAAAAAGAAACAATAAAGTTTATCTATTTTATAAATACAAAGATTCTCAAGGTGACACCAGTTTAACATCAACAGTGCTTAACTGTCACCGAAAAGCTGAGGTTTTTCTGGCTTTAGGATATGGTTTTCATTATATTGAAAGGGCAAAATTAGTAGAACTTTATAGATATTTGCTGCAGATTAGAATCATATAACTGTAGATGAAAGTTAAATTTTAGAAGTATTAGGGTATATAACAAACATTCTAATAATATTCACTACTTAACAAACCTGAATGTGTTTAAACATAAGGAGACATGTGCAACGTACACTAAATCAGTGGATAGTAAAGGCCAATAGTGTACAAGGAGGCTGGTTAAAAATTATAATGTAGAGAGAACTAGTAAGAATATAGCAACCTGGATGAAATTGATATTCATTAGGGTACTCTTCACATCAATAGGGAGCATTTGGACTCTTTGGTCTTTATCAGTGTCCCAGCTGGTAATGGTTGAAGGTTAATGCCTTACCCCGTTCTGTTCAATTTTCTATCCTAATTAGCCCTCCAAATCTATAGCTGTGAGCACCAAGTGTCTGTGCTCAAAAGAAACTAATTAATGCTAGCAAATTAGATCAAGTCCAAAGATCCAACAGCCAAACTCTTAGTTAAATGCTCCTTGTTAATAGGAAGCGTAGCTGTCAATAACTGCTGTCGGTGACTATAATGAGGCATCTTTCTTTCATTGAAAGTGATTTCATTTCTCTTTGTCCTTGGAAAAGCTGTTCCATTCCCTTTACAAATCTAAGTTGCTGGCAGTCTGACCCAATTCTTATGATCAGCTGGGTTGAATTGACACGAAAAAAAAATCAAACAAGAATCATGTTTCCTACATAATCATGTTTCAGACATTTAGCAGAAAAGTCAGATCACTTATTAAAATTCCTGTATCTTTATCCAAGAACTATACAATTAGCATGCATAATGCTTTTATATAACATCCTATAATTATTTAATAAAGCAATGACTATAAATGCTAAATAAACTATAATGGAAGTGCCCTGATGCTAAATTACATCTTATTGTTCAGTTTAAATGTAGTGGTTCTGCTGCTCTGCTTGGGCAATATACATGGCTGATACAAGGTATGTTCTTTCCTAACTCACATGGTTCAACAGGGAGAACACTAAGGATTATTCTTTACAAAATCACCAATTTTAGATACTAAAATTTAGTTTTGGATCATATGGTCTAAAAAAATCAATATGGTTATCTATAAAAAATTAAAATATTCCAAAATCAATTGTTATAACATGCTCTAATAGGGACAGATGTACTGAAATAACCCAAATGTATCTCAAATTTTAAGATGCTTTCAGTCTTCAGAATATTTTAAGTATTTTAAAAAAACAAAACAACCAAGCCAACATCCTAAACATCAGAACTTTTGATACAGAAGTGAAAATTAAACATTTTTTCTGTACCATTACATACAGTTGTGCAACATAAATAAGTATTTTAAAGTTATACTCTACATCTTTCATTTCAAAGACCAAAAACAAAGTTTGACTAAGAATAAGCAAATGTAGGTACGAAGCCCAATCATTGCATTTTCATCTGAATCATGTGAGTAAAATCTCAACCTATAACTGTGTTAGCAAGCTTTCTTTTATTGTAGATACAGGAATAACATGTCATCAAACAACATAAATACAACTGATGCATCTAACTTTGGACCAATATATCAGAAATAAGTAAATTTTCCTGGTAGTGGAAAGTTAGCTCTGTGACTTTATTACCCATTTTTAATTTTTATCCTCCCTCACCTGAATCAGCATATGTATCTTTTAGTTCAATGAGGCAGGTGGAGGATTATCTCTTGAGACTATCAGCATGACACCTGCCAATGCCAGATGTGCACTGAACCCTGCCTGCAGGTGCCAATGGGTTAATTTCTCCTGACACCTGAGGGGTGGGGGTTGTGGAAGGAAGGTGCTCTGATTAAACAACTAATTCACAGCAAAAGCATGAGTATTACCATAAATAATATTCCTAAATTACTGATAATTAATAAATGTACTTACGGATACATGTTATTTAAATGTAAGTTATGAATGGATTAAAATTAACACAGGTCATAAACAGTCATTTAAGAAACAGAAATGACTATCACTTAATGTTAGTTCTGAGGAACTACCCTTCTTTTTCTGCCTCCATCCATCCGTCACAAAGAAGACAGCACCAATTTCTGAGGAGATAGCATCAGAGGGACAGAAGTGTTCCTAGTATCCAAACCTTATTGACATGGCCCTGAAACTACAGTTGTTGATATACAGCCTGGCTCCCCTATAAAGAAACCTGCAATGAGACTGCAGCTAAGCCCAGCCTCCTAAGAATTAATGTGGTCCTTCAATGAGGAAGACAATAGGGGAAAGTGAAGAAGAGCCAGGAAAATAGTCAACATCAGCAAAATCTCACTATGACTTCTTTTAATGGCAGTTTCAACAGGTAAATTTCTTTAAAAAGACATTTGCACGGTAATACTGCCATCTCCTTTTCTAATTACCCATCCTTTATGGCCTCATTTTTCATATTTCACTGCTTTGTTTACATTTTTCACTATAATGTTACATATTAAGCAATGATATATCTCTATAGTTACAGAATACAGGAGTATTTCATATTAAAAACATTTTCCAAAGAAAACATGCATATGTGGTACCTAGTACATGCATTTACATAATTATCTTTCACTTAGAAATGTAAAATATAGAAAAAAACAGATTCAATGTAAATGTTTTTGGGATTCATTAGCTATTCAGTAACAGACAATGACAACAAAAATAATCTTAAAATATATAGCTATATAAATATATCAATAGAGGAAAAACAAGTACATGTTACATTTAAGATTTCTTCTTTCTCTATCAAAATCTCCAGAATAACTTATATTGGCAAAATACCCATATCAAGTTTCTCAATATGTAACTATACTAGGAAAAAATGTTTTTTTACTAGTAATTGGGGAGAATATTTTTAAATTGTAAATGAATCAAACACTGCCTGGAAGTTCTGACAGCTGAAATACTGGTATCTCAGTGTAAGGGTGAGAAGCAATTCATACATATTAATTCACTGACTACTTGACTCTGAAGCTAGGGATTAAATTCAGATCATATTATAAAAAATATATTTCATCTTTATATGAATATTTGAATCTTACCTTGAACTTGTTCAGAACATCTCTCTCGGGCCTTTTCTCTCATTATTTTAGGGATCAAAACATCTTTTTCAACATGTCTGAGATGCTGCTCTGAAAAAAAAAAAATCTTTGATATAGTGAAGTCTCAAGTAACTCACCAGTTTAGGAGGAAAAACGCACTCTCTGGTTTACTTAAAAGCCTATGTAAATATGTTAAAAACTCTCTTATAACCCCATAAAACTACAATAATTTTAGTCACTGAAAATCATTCTAATTTTTTTTTCTTTATACAACAGAAAAATTGTGAGGGTCATAGTAAATATCTTTTTAAAAAGTTCTTCAACCTATACTTCAACACTTTTATTTGACAACATATTCCATGCAGTCTTGTCAAAATTAAAGTCACAGACTAACACATAATTTTTATTAATATAATTCAAAAAAGGGGGATTTTTATCGATACTGAGTCCCAAGGACAGATGAAAAGATCCAAGAATCAGAGACACATGTATAGTCCCTCTGACTAGTAAAAAGAGTAGCCTAAGAAAGAACTGGCAGAAGAAAAAGTGGAACTACCTGTGCATATAAAAAGAAAGCATGTTTGAGATTTCTGTGCATTTTAAACACAACTACCACAATTAGACTAAAATGGTAAACAGCACTTGCTCGAGTCCGACAGGCTCCTTAAATTCTTAGAGAGCCCTGAAAAACAACGGAGTAAGTGCCCTTGGGAACCAAAATGGTTCGGAATCTCTGCAAGACAAAGGCAGATGAAATGAGGTTAAAGGAGATAATCAAACACCCCAGTTTTTCTCCAGGAAAAAAACTGATGCCAGAAGTGGGTGTTGCAGCATGCTCTGATGCAGCAAAAATGGGGAGCAAGCAATAGATTTCCCTGCAGGAATCTCAAGCATTATTGGTTGAGATGCCTCAGTAGGAGCCAGTGGGTCCCCTCTCCGGCTGCCTTCACACCCTGGGTAAAAGAAACAAATAGCCAGGTATTTATCCCTAAAAGATGAGGAAGTTTTCCCAGTATCTAGACAGTGGCACCTAGGAAGACCAGGAACCCCTAAGCTCTCCCTGGTACTATGTGGTTCCCAGAAACTTCTGGATGCAAACATCTGTGAACTGATAATAGTATTTTCAGAGAAGGTAGCAGGATATCTCAAAAAACAAACAAAATCAACAACAAATAGCCAAGAATCACCTAAATTTGATGAAGGACAAAACAAGGAAAGGGGAGAAACCAACTGTAATTAATCAAGAAGTAACCAACTCCTAGAAAAGGTAAAAGAGTAGAGAAAAAAAGATTTTAGAGTAAGTATAATACAATGCAGCAAATAAAAAGACTTGAGTCCTAAAACAGAAATGGATCCTAGATTACCTAAATATACTTTGATAAAATGTCTGAAGCTCAGAAATACTAAAAACTTCAAAAGGGAAAAAAATATTACCCAAAGGAATGAGAATCAGATGTATATCATGTTTCACTGGCATGACATGGATGCAAGAAGACAATGGAGAAATAACTTCCAACTTCTGAGAATTACTTTATATCCAAGAATCCAAGAGCCAATTAAGAGTGAAGTTAAAGATATTTTCGGATATATAGGGACTCAAAAGTTTACCTCTTTCAGACCCCTCTGAAAAAGAAGTGATCCCTATTGTTGTACAAGGCACTAATCAAACTCAGTGATGTACAACACTAAACATTTTATTATGCATAGGGATCCTATAGGCCAGGAATTCAGAAAGCTACAGCAGAATTGACTCTTCTCTGCTTCACAATGCACAGTACTTCATCTGTCAAGACTCAGATGATGGGTTGATTTCAACAGCTGTCAAAACCAGGGTGGAGGACTTACTTCCAAATGACTTCTTTCTTCACTCATGTATCTGACATCTGGGCTGGAATGGCTGAAGGATGGGCTGAGCAAGGACTGTGAAGCAGAACACCTACACATGGTCTCTCCATTTGCTTTGGCCTCTCACAGTACAGCAGGCAGGTTATGAGAGGGAGCAATCTGAGAAGGAATGTCTAGAGAGCAAGCATTCCAAGATATCCAAGTGAAAGCAGTATGGCCTTTTCTGACCCTGTTATTATGGAAGCCATACAGCACCATCCTTCCTTCATTATATTGATTTCAAATCACTAAGGACAGCCTATACTCAAGTAGAGGAGTATCAGGACTCCATTTACTGTGGCAATGCCACGTTATAGAAGAGCATGAGGACAGAAGATAATGTTGTGGCCTTCTGCATAAAATAAAATCTGACACAAGACATAATAGAGAATATATTCCGATAAAATAAAAATGAATCCATGATATAGAAACATGAAATATATAAAGCACATTAGAAAAACCTATATTTAAACTTATACATTAAAACTATAAAGTGCTTGACCATATCATCAACTAATTTGACCTAACCGACATTTATAGGATAATACACTCTGTAACAGCTGAATATTTACTAATATAAACCACAGTCTGGGATATGAAACAAATCTCAATAAATGTAAAAGAATTCAAGTCATACAAAGTATGTCACCTGACACCAGTATAATTAAATTAGGTATCAGTAATAGAAAGATCTTTTGATAATCTTCAAATATTTGGATACTAAATAACACACCATTGAATAACCCACAGGTTTAAGAAGAAATCAAAAGGGAAATACATATTTTGAAATGTGTGAAAATGAAAATACAACACATCAAAACTTGTTTGATACAGCTAAAACAGTGCTGAAAGGAAAACATATAGCTCTAAAAGCTTACATTGGAAAAAAAGGATGGTCTTAATGACTTAACCTTGTACACTGGGAAACTAGAAAAAAGAAGAGTAAACTAAACACAAAGTAAACAAAAGAAAGGAAATAATAAAGATCAAAGCAGAAACCAATGAAATAGAAACTGAAACAAACAACAAACAAACAAAATGATACATAAAAGCAATGAAACCAAAGCTGGTTCTTAAGAGCATTAAAATTGATAAATCACTAGCCAGGAAAAAATAGAGGTCACACACATCACAAAAAATGCCCATTTTTAAATGATAATACTATATTTAAATAATTTTTAATTTAATTTTAATTTTAAACGTAATTATTTTTAAAATGTAAGCCAGTAAATTTGACAATTAAGATGAAATGGCAAAATTCTCTGAAAAACACAAAGCTAAATTCAAGAAGACACAGATAACTCTGTATTGAAGAAATTAACATTTACTTAAAAGCTTTCTCACAAAAACAACATTTTGGTGAATATGACCAAACATTTAAGAAAGAAAGAATATCAATTCCATACAAACTCTTCATAAAATTGCTCTGATGCCAGCATTACTCTGATACCAAAACCAGGCAAGACATTACAAGAAAACTACAGTTCAATAGCACATATTTTTACATAGAGATGTAAAAATATTTTTAAAAGTAGCAAATTAAATCCAGCAATATAAAAAAGGGTAATACTTCATGACCAAGTGAGGTTTATTCCAGGATTGTAAAGTTCACTTAACATTTAATAAACAGTAAATGTAATTCATGATATTACAAAACTGGAAAAGGAAAAACAGTTACCACAATAGACACAGAAACTACATTTGACAAAAATCCAACATCCATTCCTAATAAAAACTCTCAGTAAAGTAGAGACAGAAGGAAACTTCCTCAACATGATAAATACATCTACAGAAAAAAACCCACGACTAATATCATGTTAAATGGTGAAACATCAGATATTTTCCCCTTAAGAAAGGGAACAAGAGAAAGAAGTCTGCTCTTACCACTTCTATTCAATATTATAATGTTCTTAGCTAGTGCAATAAGGCAGGAAACATAAGTAAAGAACTTCCAAATTGAAAAGGAAGAAATAAAACTGCATATGTTTATTGCCTATAATGATTGTCTATATAGAAAAGATAATATGATTGACTACACAGAAAATCCAGTGGAATCTACAAAAGAGCTACTAGAAGTAATGAGTTTCACAATATTTCCAGATATAAGATATACAAAAACTGAATGGAGATAATAATTTAAAAAATCAGAAAACTAGAAGATAATTCAATAATACTTATCTAACTTGAAAAGTAGAAAAATACCTTTTTAAAAAATCAACTGAGACTCAGGGACCTGCAGGACAAGAATAACAGATCTGTTGTTCAGTTTACCAGAGTTTGGAAAAAAGGAAAAAAGAAAGCAGGGCTGAAAAAATATTTGAAGAAATAATGGATGAAACCTTTCCAAATTAGGCAAAAGACATAAACCTACCAATTCAATAAAACAGTTTAAAGCCCAAGGAAACACACACCTGGATACATCATAATCAAACTTCTGAAAATGAAAGGCAAAGAAAGATCTTCAAAGTATTAAGGAGAAACACAGGAAAACAAAGATTCAAACGACAAAGGATTTATTATCAGAAACCAGAGGCCAGAAGGAAGTGGCACATTATTTTCCAATACTAAAAGAAAAGAATTGTCAATCAAGAACTTTATATCCAGCAAAAACATTCTTCAGGATTGCAGATGAAATAAAGGCAACTCAAATGAAGAAAAGCTAAAGTAATTTCTTGGCAGCAGACCTATTCTGAAAAAAATAGAAAGATGCTATTCAGAAAGGAAGAAAATAGTAACAAAAGGAAACTCAGCACAACAGGAAAAAAGAAGGGTGATAGAAGGGGTAACTGTAATAAACTATTCTTTGCATGAATTTTAGAAATTATTTTTGACAGAAGCAAAGCTTATAGCATTCTCAGTGTATGTAGTGGTAATAATAAAGATGACTATATCATAAAGAGGAGAGGGCAGAGTGACTTTGGTGTTGTAAGATATCTACATTCCACATAAATGATGAAGTGTTGATGCCACTAGACTGTGATAAACTATGTATGTATAGTGTAATCATTAAAAAAATAACTAAGAAATTTTTAAAACAATAGATAGATGAAATGGAATACTGACAAATTGAAAGTATTTTCTCTGACCATAATGTAATCAGCTAGACAGCAATAACGGAAAGATAAAAGAAAAATCTCCTAATGGTTGGGTATTAAAGAACACACTTCTAAACAATTCATAGGTCAAAAAAGGAATCATCGAGGGAAGAATACACTGACCTGAAAGAAAAAGAAAACAAAATCTGTAAGACAAAGCTGAAGCAGTGCTTGTAGGTAAATTTATAGCAATAAATGCTCATATTGAAAAATAAAATCTCAAACCTTCCACCCATCTAAGCTTCCACCCATCAAAACTAGAAAAATAAATAAATCAACCTCAGACAAGTAGTCGAAGAAAATAATAAAGAGCATAAATCAATCAATAAAAATGACAACAGAAAAACAAATGAGACAATCATAATGAGCTTATTTTTTAGAAAGATGAATAAAATTGGCCCATATAGTTTCATTAGCAAATTCTAAGAGATATCTAAAGAACAAATAACACCAATTCTAAAGTCTCCTTCTACAGTCTTTCTCTTTATGAGGCTAGCTTTACTGACAGAAAAGTACAGGTAGTATTTTTTTAAAATCCACAGATCAATGTCCTTTATAAATATAGATATAAAAATCCTAGCAAAATATTAGCGAATCAAATCCAGCAATATATAAAAAGAAAAATATACCACACCAAGTTGGGTTTATTCCAAGGATTCAAGTCTGGTTCACTATTGGAAAATCAATGTAATCTATCATACTAACAGTCTAAAACCAGAAAAACCATATGATCACATCAATTAAAGCAGAATAAAATGTAATAAAATTTATCATCATTCATTAAAAACAAACAAAACTCTCACTGAACTAGGACTAGAAAGGAACTTCTTTAACCTAAGCAAGTGTATCTGCAAAAAACCTACAGCTAACAACATACTTAATGGTAAAACACTGATTACTTTCCCTGTAAGAATAGGAACATAGACTAAAATTGCACAGAACTATACATATTCATAAATTGCATGTATATAAAAAACTGGTGAAAAATGAAAAGGTCTATATTGTAGTTAACAGTTGTGTACCAACTTGAATTTCCTGCTTTTGATAATTGCACTACAGTTATGTCACTGTTGGGGAGGCAAGCTGAAAGGCACATGAGACTCCATATATACTGCTTTTGCAACTTCCTGTGAGTCTATCATTATTTCAAAATAAAAAGTTAAAGGAAAAAAGCTTCTAGAAGAAATCATAGAAGAAAATCTTCATGACCCAGAGTTAGAGTTCTTATATATGACATCAAACTCACAATCCATATGAGAAAAAAAATAATTGATAAATTAGATGACCAAAATTAAAAACTTGCATGCTCCTAAAGCCCCTACTAAAAAGATAAAAAGACAAGACACATACTGGAAAAAATAATTTCCAAATCTCTTATCTGACAAGGACTTGTATCCAGGATAAATACTTCTTCAAACTCAACAGTGAAATAGCAATCCAAGTAGTAATGGGCAGAAGACTCAACAGACACTGTACCAAAGAAGATGCACAGATAGCAAATCAGTATATAAAGAGATGCTCAACATCATTAGTCATTACAGAAATTGAAATTAAAGTAAACCAAGATACCAAAGACCTATTAAGGTGGCTAAAATTTAAAATAACGATAATACTAAGTTTCAACAAGGACATGGAGTAACTGGATCATTCATACATTGCTGCTGGGAACATTAAATGGTACAACCACTCTGGAGGATAATGGGACAGCTTCTTACAAAGTTACACATACACTCACAGTAACACCCAGCAAACACACTCCTAAGGACTTATCCTAAAGTAATGAAAACTTACATTCACACCAAAACCTGTACATAGATGTTCACTGCAGCTTTATTTGTAATAACTAAAACATGAAAACAACTCAAAAGTCCTCCAGTGAGTGAATGGGTAAACAATGGCTTATCCAAACAATAGAATAATCCTCAGCAATAAACAGAATGAGCTCTTAATATACAACAGCAGCACTTTGGATGGATAGATTTCAAGGGCATTGTGTTGAATGAAGAGAACACAATCTTAAAAGGTTACGCATTGTATTACTCTATTTACATAACATACTTAAAATGACAAAATTATAGTGATGGAAAACATAATTACTCACTGGTAAGGGTTAAGAGTTGAAGAAGTAGTGTGCCTATGAAGGGGAAACTAGGGTTTTTCTTTGTGGTGACAAACAGTTCTCTATGCTGATTGTGATCATGGCTATCTGAGTCGTAATAAAACATCATATACCTATGCACACAAAATACATGTAAAAACTGGTGAGATTCAATTTAAGATATGTACCTGAGTTAGTAGGATACTAATGTCAATTGTTGATTTTCTTGGCTGTAATGAAGTATAGCAGTGTATCCCAACTTTTCATTTTTGCCCCTAAAGGAGCCTTTTTAGACATTTTTTTCCTAATGCCCACTATAAATTGTTAGTATCACAAACACACCGTCTGTTTATATACTGCATGCAAGACAGTGGTTTATACATTAAAAGAGCAAGATTATTTTCTCACTCTAATACTAATTTTTGCCCCTTTGAGGGCAATACCACACTCACTGAAAGCATGTACTATGGTTATATAAGATAGTATCATTACAGAATGCTAGGCAAAGTGAAAACTGCACTATTTTGCAGCTTGATGCATTAAACTATTTCAAAATAAAGTTATAATGAAGTTTGAAAATGTATAAGGAAGAGCAAAAAAGCAAAATAGCCAAAACAACATTAAAACAGAATAACAAATTTGGACAGCTTATACTACCTGATTTCAAGTCTTACTACAAAGCTACAGCAATCAAAGGGGTGTAGTAATAGCATAGTTAGAATAAACAAAAAGATTAATATAACAAAATAGAGTCCAAAAATACTTCCACTTACATATGTCAATTTACTTGGACAAATGCATGCACCAAGGCCAGTCAATGAAGAAATAAAATTTTCAACAAATGGAGGTAGACGTGGTTAAACATGAAAAAAAGAAATCAGTGTGAACCCTTGACCCCTACTTCACAGCACCCACAAAAATTAGTTTGCCATGGATCATTAACCTAAATGCAAAAATTAAAACTATTAAACAAAAAAACTTTCAATTCCTTGGAGTAGACAAAGATTTCTTTAAAAAAGGACACAAAGGCACTATGCAGAAAATAAAAAAATTAAAAAACTGATTTCATCAAATGTAAAATCTATTTAGCAAAAGACACTGTTCAGAAAATTACAAGGCAAGACACAGACCAGAAGAGTTTACAACACATACATCTAACAAAGGACTTGAATTTAGACTATATAAAGAATTTTTATATATCAACAAAAATACAAATAACCCAGTAAAAAAAGGGAAAAAGGGCTTGAATGGACTCTTCCAAGAAAAAGATATACAAATTATAAATATGTACATGAAAAGGTGCTCAAATTCATCAGTCATTACAAAAATGCAAATGAAACCTATGATATCATTTCACACCTACCAGAATGACTAACATTAAAAACAGTGACAACACTAAATGTTAGGGAGCATGTGGAGCAACTACAACTTTCATATTTTGCTGGTAGAAGTGTGAGATGATAAACTTCTTTGGAAAACAGCTTGTTAAGTTACAAAGTTAAATATACACAACCTATTTTCCACTCCTAGATATTGATTTACCCAAGACAAATTAATATATGTCCAGAAGCACCCTGTACAAGTCTGTTTATGAAAGTATTATTCATAATAGCCCAACATTGGAAACAACCTAAATGCCCAGCTGAATACTACTTAGCAATACAAAAGAATGAATTACTGATATATTTATGGATGAGTCTCAACATTTTTGTTGAGAAAAAGAAGGCAGTCACAAGAATACATACTGCATCATTCAAGAACATGCAAAATTAACCTATGGTGATAAAATCCATGGGACTTGAGAAGGGTATTCTCTGAGGGTCGCCTTGATTGGGGTATATACATTCATCAAAACTCACAATCTGCCAACTACAGATATTTTACCTCGATTTGTTTCCTTGTTATAAATCTGCACTCATAGTAGGTGATTTTAACCTGTAATTATCAGAAAGTGAATAATTAAGTAGACAAAGAGCTATTTAATTTTCTCCTTAAAGATACTGTTCATGTTATTAGATTTATTTCTATTGGTAAAGGTATCTTTACCTATTTATTTTTTTGTACAAGTTCAACTGTATTGTCCTTATAACCAATACAACCTTACTTAGCTTTCATTAATTCTAATAAATTGCCAATAGATTCTCTTCCAGTTTCTATGCAGACAATCGTAGGGGCAGCTTTGCATCTTTCTTGTTTCTTACTGTCTATGCCCTTTAGAAAAATGGCCAGTAGTAATAGGAGGGCCTCTGTCTTGGTTGCTCAAATTTTGTTTAGAATTTTTATAGTTATCTCCATGTTGAGATTTGCCTATTACTTTCCTCCCTTATCCTTGTGTTGTTTTGCTATCTAAATAACATTATTTTAAAAATAAATTAGGGATCTTTCTCTTCCTTTGCATTCTCTAGGACATTTTGTAAATGATAAAGATTATCGTCAATTCCTTGAAAGTTTGGTAGACTCCACCTGTCATGGTCAGTTTTATGGATCAGTTTGGCTATAGATCCATTACTCACACACTAATCCAGGTGTTGCTGTGAAGGTATTTTGCAGGTGTGGTTAAAATCTGTAATTCATTGACTTTAAACAGATTATCTGAAATAATCCTGGTGGGCCTGCTTCAATCAGTTGAAAAGCCCTAAGAGCAGAACTTTTTCTGAAGAATGCCACCTGCAGGCTGCATCTGCAGCTCATGACCAAGGGTTCTAAGGCTGCTGTTCCTGACAGCCTGACCCTGCACATTTCAGACTTGCCTGTCTAGCTTCCACAAGCACATAAGCCAGTACTTGCTGTATATATGTGTTTGTCAGGGCAGGAAGGGGTCTGTGTATCTCCTACGCACTGTTTCTCCGGTAGAACCCAGGCGATACAACACCTATTGGAGCCTGGGTTCTGGAGTGTTGTATGTATGCATACACTTATATGTGAGACAGAAACAGTTTTAATACTGATTTAGTTTTCCAAGGGCTTTTTATTTTTGAGTCAGTGGCAGTTTTAGTTAAGTTCATATTTCTCAAGGAAACTATCCATTTCATTTAAATTTTCAAAATAATGACATGATGATATTCATGTTTTTTTTCTCTTCACCACACCTCAGTTGTATTCCAGTTTTCTCTGTCTATGCCAGGGGTTAACAAACTGTTAAGGACCAAGTATAAATATTTTAAACTTTGTAGCCTATCTACCATTTCTGTGAAGTATTTTCCTTTTTCTTTTTTTAACAATCCTTTAAAAATGTCACTATTCATAGCTTATAGGCTGTGGATAAAATTAAAGTTCCTGTGGCCAGAATTCTCACCTGGTTCTGGTGGTTGGATAGCTCACTACACATGTGGACAATATGTTGCTACTGACTCTATATAAAGAGCTCCACCCAGTGCTCTGGGCGACATGGTGGCACAGCTGCAAGGCTGTAGGAGAGGAGAGCAGAGGCTGGAGTGGTGGCAGCACCGAGGACAGAGGCCCAGAGGATGGCTGTAGAGGCAGGGAGGCCCAGAGGCAGAGACGGGGTTGCTGCATGAAGACTTCCTCTGAGTGGATGGGATTTTAGTGATTGACCTGCCACCATGGAAATAAAGTTGGGTATAAACTTTTCATCCCAAGAACATTTTACTGTCATTTCTTTGGTCACACTGAATCCATAGTGAACTTGCCGGAGGCTGAAACCCATTGGCAAGACACAGGTTTTACCAGAGTTTGCTGAATTCTAGAGACACATGAATATTGATTCACATTTTCCACTCCTGATGTTAAATCATAAATAACAGATATATATAAATAAATTCTGCTGAAGATGTTCCCATTTGGTAGCATACCAACAACTAAATATCAATTTCTAATTAATTATGATTTTATTAACATTACAAAGCTATCTTTAACACTCCATTACAGATGTGGCATTTTTTATTCATAAAAATTACAGAGTGCAGGAACAACAAATGCTGGCAAGAATGTGGAGAAAGGGGAACCCTCCTATCCTGCTGGTGGGAATGTAAACTAGTTCAGCCACTATGGAAAGCAGTATGGAGGTTCCTCAAAAAACTAAAAATAGAAATACCATTTGACCCAGGAATTCCACTCCTAGGAATTTACCCTAAGAATGCAATGGCCCAGTTTCAAAAAGACATATGTACCCCTATGTTTATCGCAGCACTATTTACAATAGCCAAGAAATGGAAGCAACCTAAGTGTCCATCAGTAGATGAATGGATAAAGAAGATGTGGTACATATACACAATGGAATATTATTCAGCCATAAGAAGAAAACAAATCCTACCATTTACAACAACATGGATGGAGTTAGAGGGTATTATGCTCAGTGAAATAGGCCAGGCAGCGAAAGATAAGTACCAAATGATTTCATTCATCTGTGGAG